CATGTCCCTATGTTCGATTTTTCGGTCGCCGGTCCTGACAGACCAATAATCCGAGAATATATGCTTGATACAATCGAAGATGTTACCATTTATTGGAGCGAATTACAATACGTCGCTCAACAAAAGATGGCCGAGACGATAAGTAAAAGTGATGATGAAAATGGAAGCGATGAAGAAAATCCCGAAACACAGAAGCAGATATCACAGGCTGAGGAATCGAATCCATTAAGATTCATTACTTCATCACGTAATTGGAATGCCGGCTATCCCTTGACTTCACGTCAGAAAAAGAGACTTGAATATTACGTAGACCGTCGGAAGTCAAAAACACCATATGATGACGAAGTCCTATGTCGGCAGATTGCACAGGAGTGTAGCTTGCCTTATACTCGTGTAAGAGTTTATTTCAAACGCATTGAAGATAACTTTGAAAAAAAGAATCGAGAGGCAAAAGCGGCAAAGCAAAGAGAAAGGCGACGTAGGGTTGCAAATAAATACAAAACCTTTACTGGTATTATTCCTACAGCACAGGGTGAACCGTCATTCAAAAAGAGAAAGACCGAAACCATGGTCCATAAAGTTGCGAGAAAGACCAACAACGCGTTGGGGCCTCACTCGGGGCGCAAGAGTCATCGTGAGTTTAAGCAGAAGGAATTGGCAGACAACCAAATCATTGCAGAAGAAGAAAACCTTCCAATTATTGCCGACGAAGGTAATGGGAATTTGGTTTGTCTTTTGTTCAACGCAAAGTTCAAACAAAGAGATGTAATTATTTATATTTTATAAAATTGTCTTTAGAGCGATTTGAAACCCAATATGAAACTTTTGTGAAACGTCAACGGCCTGTATGGAATCATCAAGAGGATGAATTGGTCATCCATTCATATGCCATTCTCAGAGTCCGTTCGCAAAAAGCAAGATTCCTCTGGGGAGCAGTGACCAAGGTGTTAACAAATAAAACCAATGAGATGTGCCGTCGCAGATTAAATGTTTTGGTCAAAAATGCGGCCGTGCAAGAACGTATCAACATCTTACTGACCCAATGGCCAAAGATTTATAAAATTGGAATCGAGAATGGCGATATTGTTGACGAAGATGACGTTGAGATGATAGATTTTGACTTGCCCGGGCACGTAGAATATTTTATGAAATCATTGAAGGACATGCCAAAGTGAGTTCCCTTCTTTCTCGTTTAAGTAACGATCAGTAGTATCTCTACAAGGTGTTTACGATTATTTGTTCTATTAGTAAAAGAAGTGGTCCTGATCCCGTGATACTGCTTCCTCGTGACGTCGGAATGCTACAAAAATACTTTACTGAAAAATATATGTCCTCTTTTCACGATCAAGATCTGTTCTTTGAAGATAAACTAGCCGGTTGCTCTTTGAGACAGAAATTCACTACTCTTTACTCGCATTCATTCACATGCCGTATTTCTCACGAAAATTCGGTCGATTATTATGCAAAATTAAAAATTGATGACAGGGAAATTCAACTCGAATGTATTCAGGCATTGATTAAGGTTCGCAAGGAGAAACTTATATTTATTATTGAAACGATTCATTTTTAAACACGTTTTCTTTGTGCAGATGATACTTCTGACACCCGAGGATCAGTACGATTCATCGCACGCATTTTCAATTCTCAATTCATATTCCGATTCCCTTGTTACCGACGCAATTGATAAATTGAACGAATTTGGAGCAATTGTTCGTGTCAAAGGTGGAAACGACCGAAGAGTTCCTGGTCGAGGATATCATGTATCCGATAAGTAATTATCTTTATTATTTGCCTTAATCATTTATGTACACTTGCTTGTCACCAAATAATCATTATTTGTTTTTAGGTTCCTCTCGGTTATTTCAGGAACTTTACCCGATCGCCTTTTTTCGCAAGCTGTTGCCTTCCATAAATCGATCGTCGGGCCGACCCTCTTTGATCAATTTTCTAACAGCGGTGACATGGCTTGCATTTTGGATTTATTTTCTTCTGAAAAGGTAATATACATATATATGCGAAATATTTATCGGAATAAATTTATCCGATTCGTATTCAATACAATAACATTTCTTTGGTCTTTTAAAGGTTTCATTGGTCCCCGCGTATAAAACTGAAGATTTGTTCACCTCATGCGTAATACCGAACCACCGCAGTAGGAAAATTGGTAAGGGAATAGCAACGATATCACGTTGACCGTATAAATAAATTGATACATGTAATCATAAGTTTTATTAATGTCATTAATAAATGTCAATCTAATTATATGTAGAACCTTCGAAACTTCAATTTGACATCTTAATATCTCCTAAGAAGCCATTGGATCACCAAACAAACGAACGCCCTTTGATTACGGAACCAAGTAAAATTCAGGACATTTCTGGATCAAGCGCAATAGAAAAGGTTCGATCTGACGTTTTAGCGTCAGAAGATCAGAGTAATTCCCCGGCAGAAGAAGAAAGTAATCCTATTGGATTTAAAAAAGTTGCTGAATACGACCTCCCGCCACTTAGGACGAAGCCGGAAGCCTTAATAATTTTTCAGAAACTACTTGCTAGACATGATGCTGAGACACAAAACGGTCTTCGAAAAATTTATAACACACTTTCGATGGTTGGTCAACTAGGAATACCCATCATTTCGTTAAAGGTGACTATTTAAAGTATAATGCCACGTTAACACAAAAACTTTTTAATAAACTAATTATATCGATATTGTATGAATAAGGAACGCATTGATCTTCCCGAAGATAAGTTTATGCGATACTTATCATTGCTAGAATTCAATCGTCCAAGTTTAGTTGTAAAAGTTGGATATGAAGCGAACCGATATGTTTGCAGCATTTTTGCGCGATTTTGGTTGATTAAAACACAAAGAACACCTGTTTATCGGTCCAAAAAACAACTAATCTACGAAAGCATCGAACTCGAGAACGCGGATGACATGATGGGAGATGCACGTCTACCATTGAGTTTTTCAAGATCAGGAAAAGTTTCTCCTGAACCCGATGAATCGTTTGCACCCACCCGAATGTGGTATGACATTAATGGAAATTTCATAGAGTCAGTCTTTCGTGGGTGCCTTGAAGTCGTGCTTGGAACCATTGTTCAGAAACCCGGAATCTATCAGGTATATTGAAAGTAACT